TCCTAGCCTGGGAGGACGTGTAGAGAATTGTGAGGAAGTGTCCAGCAGACTGCAGCGGAAGTTATGGGTTGATTCTAGGTTGAGCTAACATGAAGCTTAGGTTTGCTAGAACGAACTTGAGTTAAAAGTTATTAATTAATGTTAATTTTTTTTTTTTTTGCTTTCTACTCCATGTGGTCAGTGTGGCAACAGGACGCAAGAGTGGGACCGATGATTATTTTGCCAGCAAAGCAGAAAAGTGGGCGAATACCTGCAGAGGAGCTTCCTGCTGTTCTTGATCAAGTCACTGGACCCTCACGGTATGGAAGCCAGTGGAGAAGTGTAAGAAAAGACAACATTGGTGAGTTTTTTTTTTTTTTTTTTTTTTTTTTCACTGGGATGGCAAAATGTAGTTATTTGAAGCCTTTCAAACTGCAACTCCATTATTGAACCTGACTTCTTACAGATGGTGATGCTGGTATAAACGCTGTCCTTCTAGAAAAGTCTTCCCCTGAGGACGACGTAAAGTCAAAGGCGGCAGCAGCGCTGGATGAAATCAGGACGGCAGCCCTCGAGGATGTCATCCCAAATGCTCAGTTTACTGTGGATGTGACACAAATGTCAAATGAAACCGGAAATGTGCTTTGAGATACAAAAATGAATTAAACAGATGTTTCCTTAAAATGGAATTCTAGTGTTTGGTGTGCTGCTACTTATTTGCAACACAAAGGAACTTTTTTTGTTTTTAATGGATATTGTAGCCTATATCAAGTACCTTACAATAACTTCTGTACTAGCTGAGGAAAAGCAGACTATTGATCGTTTACGACAAAGCTGTATTTGCTCCTGGTGTCATTGGAAAGCTCCTACCATTTAGTAGTGCGGCTGTATTTTGGTGATCTGCAGCATGAGTACTGGAACATTGCATGTCATTTAGCTGAGACTTTTATCCAAAGCAACTTCCAATGAGTGCCTTCAACCGTAGGGATACAAACTCCGAAGAGCAGGAAACCCTTTCATCAAATAATCCAATTTGCTATAGATAAGTACAATTTAAGTGCTACATTTTGTTAGTCTTTTAGTCAAGGTAGCGTCTGAAGAGGTGTCTTTCGTTTGCGGCGGAAGTTGAAGGCTCTCTGCTCTCCTGGGGTCTTCAGAGAGCTCGTTCCACCATTTAGGAGCAAGGACAGCAGTCGTGATCTAGGAGTCTTTTGCTCAGTGAGGGAACAAGCAGTTTGGCAGATGCAGAGCGTGCATGGAGAGTGCAGGTCGGGATGTAGGGTTTAACCATGTCCTGGATGTAAGCTAGACCCGATCCATCCACAGCATGGTACGTGATGACCAATGTTTTGAACTGGATGCGGGTAGCCAGTGTGAGTAGAATTTTGTAAGGTTGACCAGACGAGCTGCTGCATTCTGGATGGGCATCAGATTTCGAATGGCGGGAGCAGGGAGACCTGCCAGGAGAGAGTTCCAGTAGTCCAGACGGGAGATGACCAGAGCCTGGATCAGTACCTGGGCTGCCTTCTCAGTAAGAGGACGTATTCTGCTGATGTAGAGCGTGTATCTACAGGATCGTGTTGTCGCAGTGATGTTGGGAGTCAAGTGTGACACTGAGGTTCCTAGAAGTCAAAGTGAGCATTAACACAGATGCAAAGTACGTCCAGTCCTGGGTCAGAATACTTTCCCAGAAAGAAGTAGTTCAATCTTGTAGGGATTGATTTTCAGATGGTGAGCGGACATCGACTGAGAGATGTCACGTCTGAAAGGCAGAGATCAGTGCCGCCACCTGGGTGTCCGAGTGAGGGAAGGAGAGAATTAGTTGGGTGTCATTGGCAAAGCTGTGGTAGGAGAAGCCAGGCGAGCGAATGACTGCGCCGAGAGAGTTGGTGTAGAGCGCAAAGAGGAGAGGACCCAGGACGGAAGCCTGAGGAACTCCAGTAGTAAGAGGACAAGGTTCCGACACAGATCCTCGCCAGGTTACCCGGTAGGTGCGGCCGTCAAGGTAGGACGAGAGAAGGGAGAGAGCAGAGCCTGAGCCACCAAGTTCCTGAAGGGAGGAAATAAGGATCTGGTGGTTTACTGTGTCAAATGCAGCAGAAAGGTCCAGAAGGATGAGGACAGAGGAGAGAGAGGCGGCTCTAGCAGTGTGGAGTTGCTCTGAGACAGCGAGGAGAGCAGTCTCTGTGGAATGGCCTTGAAGCCTGACTGGTGAGGGTCAAGGAGGTTGTTGTGGTGGAGATAGAGTTGGTTAAAGATTGCACAACATCCAACATGTTGGCAGTCAGGCAAAGTTAAAGGTGTGACAGGCCGTGCAGGGGTGGGAATATACGGTGGCCCTGAAGTGCAAAACACAACGACATTAACTTCTTACGGAAAGGGTAGCGCCTTATAGCAGAAAGCAGAGGATGGGCCCTTCTGATTGGACAGTCGAACTGTCTGTCTTTTATCTGGAAATGATACAGGACTCTCAAGTGTCACGCACTCCAGCCACACATACAATTCCTCGTCCCCCCTCCCCCTTTTATTTACTTTTTTTACTCCTAAATATAATTGAACAACAAAATACCGGTAAAACAATGGTAAAACACTAGTAGGACCCTTTTACACTCGTAAAATATTGCCATCTCTCCTGCTGCGTCACTTCCACCCTCATCACAGGCTCTCAGTCCCGCCACTGATTTATTGATTGCCATAATATCTAGGAAGCGGCATTTCTCAGATTTCACAATCGGATTGTGCAAATAGTTAAAGGAGTCACGGTAATTTGAATCCTCCATGTCACTTTCCGTCGCCCGCGAAAGGCTTCGGATTAAGAGGGTTAAAAGACAGTCCGTCTGTCCAATCAGGAGGGTCCGTCCTCTGCTTCCGGCTATAACGCCCTACCCTTTCCGTAAGAAGTTAATGTTGTGTTATCCTATTTGCTGTTGTGCGTTCCTTATTTTGCGCTTCAGGGCCACCGTAGGAATAGGATGTAGTGGTAAACAGTGAAAGGAGATGCAGTCCAGTCTTGTCAAGGTTAATTTTCAAGTGGTGTGAGTGCACATCCAGAGATGTCAGACAGGCACATTCATTCTGCTAGTCTCAGAAGGGGAGGAAATATGAGATTAATTGGGTGTCATTGGCATAGCTTTAGGAGAAGAAGCCACGTGAGGGGATGACAGATGAGGCAGTTGTGCAGAGAGAAGAGGACCCTTTAGGGACTGCAGTGGTGAGGACACATCCTTTTGTAGTTAAGGGAGATGCATCGTGGTTAACTTCAGTCAGCTTGAAGCGAATTGTCTGAGTGAAATTACCCCAAAGTAGTACAAGTGGCTGCCGTTTGAGAGCTCTAAATGCTTTAAAAAGGAGCTCCACATGAAGAAAATGTTATATTTGTAACGCTTATATGAGCGGTCTGATGTGTTGAAATTCCTCTCTGGAAGGCCTCGTGCCAGAATGAAGTCAATCAGCAAGATAGGTCAGTGCTTTAAACACTGTTCGCATTAGATACAGTCGCAGTATGTTGTCAATTTAGACCCAGAATATTTTAAATGTCTAAACAGTCTTTCACAATGTATGATTAACCTTTAATGTTTTAGAGCAGGGGTTTATTTTACATAACCTCAAAATGATTCATATATTTGAAACAACATTTTTGAACAGTTGAAATTCATAACTAGATTCCCTTCCTGCTCAATCACAAGAATGCATAGATGTAAACGTTTCATCAATATTCAAACAAGAGATTATAGTGAAATACTTATAATTCTCATCTCTACATTGAAAGTAGAGGTATGGAACTTTGAGTGTGCAGAACCTGGTTATTCATCAAATAAATATTTTCATTGCAGGAGCTTGTAGGTGCTGTGCCTGTGTCAAGGCACCTGTGACCTCTGTCCCAAGTAAAAGGATTCCTTCTTGTAGCACCCCACCAAATGAGTTTTCAAAAAGAACACTAAAACTAAGAAGTTTGATTTTAATCACAATACAAAGAACATAGTCGACATTGATGGTTCTACTTCCTGGGGAAAACCAGCAAAGGGCCAAGTGTTACAGTTCCTGAAGCGATGATATCTGAAACTGAAAAACAGTGATTAAGGCATTTTGTTGAGACTTTTGCACAGCTATAGTAGTTAAGGTAATCTACAATGTAACCTACCGTCAGATCCTTGACTTCTCAGATTAGTGGAATAATCCGGAGAGTTTTGGGAACAGATACTGCCACAACATTGACACACGTCACTGCCATCAACGTTTACCCATCTGGAGAAATTTATTCACACACAAGTTATACATTATATCTGAAATCAAAACACCTGGAGTTACGAGTTGCATAATCGTTAGGGAAAAGATTAGTCATTTGGATAGAAACTGTTCAGGCTTCACTAGACCAAAAGGTATCTAACAGAATGATTAAGGTTAAGACACAGACTAAAGCATTTAGTTTTAAAAAAGGTCATGGGGACACCATAATAAGTGAACATAAATGTTAAAGATATTCCAATATCATTTGGCCAACTGAGTAGAACTTGCATACACAAAAGGAAAATCACCTTGGATGTACAAAGTTGCAGGCCTTGTTGATGGAGCTGCTTATCTGCATTACAGAAGTTACCTTCAACTGGCAAGTGATGAATATCTTTAAAGAACAAGAGATCAATGTCACCCAACAACCTCGGAGCATTTCCAAACACGTTTGAATCACCACATTTATGAAAGTGGCTCACCGAGTTTCTTGAATCATCGTGGAAAAGGAAAGTATTGAGCTGCAGTTGCAGTGAAGAAGCCCTCCTTCTGGGTAAGAATCGTGCGTTTGATTCTTCCTCTGTTGCATCAACGAGGCACCTGACAAAAAACAACGTCTTGATCAAAGTCTTCCAGGTTTCACACCGTGAGGCCTACAGAGCCACTCACCCATGGTTTTCAACGATGTAGTAGCTGGGATCCGACGTGGCGTCACGTGACAAAGTGGCGACGCAGCTGTCGATGAAGAGCCGTCTCTGTCCGGAGTCAGGACCAGTGTAAGACGCCTCCAGGTGCAGGAGATCTCCGATGTACAAAGCCTCGGGGAGCACCTCACCCGTCCAGTCGCCTGCAGGTAGACGGAGGTCGCTGCATGCACACTCGGCAAAAACAAACAGGTTGCATTCACTTACCGGTCATCAGCTTGAGAGAGAACGCAGCAGGGGAAAGCTTTTCAAGAAGGGAGGGGGGCAGCTGCTGCTGCTGATGATCAGTGCTGCTCGCAAGGTGTGTCCTGTGAAAGAAAAGCCAACGTCTGACCTCATCACGTCACAGAGCAGCTTCTCTGCAGAACATTGATGCAAATCTCACCTCTTATAGTGACAAGACACGGGAACGACGGCACGCGCCCTTCTGGTAATGCCATGGGAACCGGCAGCTGCTGAGATTATCAGCTCGTTGGAGTAAATCACAGAGTCATTAGAGACCTAGACACAAAGAAATCATGGAACTTACTGCAAAAGGTGCAGACTTTTACCACCGACATGTCCAGCAGTCACCAACGACTTACGGTTAATTTGGAGCCACAGTCTTGCAGTTCTGCTTCAATGATATATTCAGAGTCACCAGCAGCAACAGCTCGGCACTGAGTACTCTGTGAATGCTCCGACTCTCCTAAAGAAAGCTCTTCTGCAGACACAAGGAATCCATTTTTGTAGATATCAGCCTTCACCACAATGATCAT